TAAAGAAACTGCTGTATCAGAAAGGAGTCAAGCCACAAATAGTCCAGTCTCAAGAAAGTAGTGCCAGTTCCTAATTAACATACCAATCTACAGGCCTTCCCGCAATTTATCAACAACAAAAAAAAAAGGTTAAAAGTAGGAATTCATTGATATCAAAAAGTAGCACTACATCCGTGCATCAAATAACCAAGACATCTGAAGGGGCATGAAAGTAGAAACTAATTGATATTGATTCAAGTTACAGGATGCAAAACAAATTAAAGTACTTCTAATTGCAAAATTAAAAGTTATTAAGTCAGAATCCCTAATTTTACGAACCTGCAGAGCCCACCAACCCTCAATTCATCTAACCAAAACAAATTAGAGTACTTCCAAATTTCCAATTGTAAAATAAAAAATCATTAATTCAGAATCCCTAATTTCACTAACTTGTAGCGCCCAATGTGTACCTAAATCTTCACTATGTAGAAGGCAGCGATAGACGATTGACGAGAGTGAGAGAATCACAGAAGGTTGATTAATGGAGGGAGGGAAGCGTGAAGAAGGGCTGGGTTTGGGTTAATAAGGGAGGCGTGAATAAGGGTGGAATGTTTTTACAACGTTTTGCAGACTTGCGAAAAGTGAAATATTTTCTTACTTTTGGCAACGTTTAATAAACGCTGCGAAAAGTAGATTTTTCGCAACGTTTATTAAACGCTGCGAAAAGTAGACTTTTTGCCTTTTTCGCAACGTTTATCAAACATTGCGAAAAGTAGACTTTTCGCAACGTTTGATAAACATTATCAAACGTTGCGAAAGGTCCTACCTTCCGCAACACTCATTAAACGTTGCAAAAAAGGGTCTATCGTAACGTTTTTCTAAAAAAGTTGCCAAAACTCATTTATATTAACCATTTGCAACATTCACTTACTAAAATGTTGCCAAAAGACATTTTTAGCAACATTTATCAACAAATGTTGCCTTTTTCATGTTGCAAATTGTGTTTTTTGGTGTAGTGTATGAGATTAAAAGTGGCATGAGTATTTATAAATATGAGCCAAACATAAGCTTAGATCCTATTTGTCACATTTTGTGATCTGAAACCCGATTAAAGGATGATGGTTGCAGTAAATTATAAACTAAAACTCGATATTATTTTATAACCAACATGAGAATGGACCAGGGTTATGAGCTTATAATCTAGAGTATCATTTGAACAAATAAGAATTCCCTTCGATACATGATCTCTTCTTCATATGGATAGATGTAAGATTTATGGAGCAATTACTTAGAAATACATAATAAAAAGAAAAAGAAACTGCCCTTTAAAACCTGAAATTTATCGAGAATTGGAAAAAAATTAAAATAGTGCATTCAACTACAGTCTAAAGATACTCACTACAACTCATACAAGATTCAGCAAGAAAAAACTTTCAAAAGTTACACAGACGATTTGCCTCATATCCTTGAATTCTAAAGTTTAAAAAACAAAGCCAAGCCGAGGATACTTGAGATTTTAGTCGTAAATTAAGTTCAAAATCACAATGAATTGTTACCTCCAAAACCACAAAAAAGTCTTCTTTTCTGAAAAAAACCCCGAAAATGTAAGTCTAAATCTCATAAAACAGCAGAAAGAGTGAAGAGATTGATTGGTACCTCTTGGTGTGGCAGAGAATACGGAGTGAAAGTAAAAGGAGGGCCATGGCTGAAGGACCTGAAACTCGGGTCTCCGCAGATCTTAGCATAGGCTTCCGGGTGCCCGAGTGCTTGGTTGATTGACATTTCTTCGTCTGTGAACACGCGGTCGGTTGCCATTAGTAGAAATGTATATCAGCTTCTTCTTTGAAGAAATCTTGATTACAGAAGCAGATGTAGAGTGATGTAGTTTTGAATAGGAAATTTTTAGATGCTTAACGGTCGTTTCCATTTAAAAAAGATTTTATGTTGTTTTTATAATGGCTAGATACGCTGAGTCCACAGGTCACCTGCCCACGAGAGTCACGACCCTCCTCATTAAAGCGTTAATATATGAAAAGACCAATTTGCCCTTGGGAAGAAACCTAGGACTAAAAATAGTCATTTCTTTGCTTAAAAATCCTTAAAATTGTCCAAACCCTATCATAATATAATTTTTTGTCTTGACATGGACCCTTTTTGTCAACTCGACCCCTACAACAGTTGGATCCAAATGATGGAAATGTGCGCATATATACGCTCCATCCTTCTTTTTAGATTGACTTATGAAGGAAGATCCCTTATTTAGAAAAAAATTAAAGAAAACTATTTTCATTTTCTTTTCCTTCTTAGGAAATTCTCAAATGTCAAAAGAACTGCTCGATAAAGGGTAATTCGGTCATTTTAAAACTAGATGAAATGGGCATTCTATCCAACAATTTGAATTTATGTCATTTCTAGTCTAAATAAAAAGTTCGAAATCAAAGAATAAAGGCAAGCAAATAAGCATCAAATCTAGTTGTTTGAAAATGGAATAAATTAAGGTTTTGTACAACGGCCCCTCATTGTCGTGCCTTTGATTGTATGTTTACAATGCTATACAAAATCAATGGCTCAATCCTTCATCTATCAATCGCTTACCAGTTCTAACTCATCCTAAAAGTTGCTGGCTGACCTTGTACAACCTTCTACTAGTCAAAAAAGCCCATCGAACAAAATTCTAGCTTCTTTTTCTTCATTAATACTATACAGTACTATCGAATTCACCTGATCAAACATGCCAAGTGTGTAATTTATAAATTGGAAAGCTCAACTATTTACAGAAATGAATGGACAACCATTGCAAAAATGTAAACTATTCCGTTGGAACATTTGTAATTCCACCAAGGGTTCATTGGAACACACATGACATCATTACAAGATATCGAGACAAAAAGAAATAACGAAATCCAAGAAGTAGAGTTGAGGACATTGGTGAGGCATTTTTTTGCATAAACCTTCGGCAACTAGGTACGACATAAAATTGTTTTTGTTCTTTTAAAAGAAAGTAATTCAGACTGGAGGAAAAAAGCAGCATTTTGGAATAACCACGTCCATCTAATACTCTGCAAAATCCCAATCACCTTCCGACTGAACATGTCATGTTCAAGTGTCTGACCTGGAGCAACCTGATTGGGCAGCACATTCACACTATGACTTCGAACTAGCTCATTCTGTGTGAGTTCCAGAAGAAACAAACTCAGAACCAGCAGCCACATGTTCCGTTGGTGCCACAACTAAACCGTCACTGGAATGATCGATGTTTGACTGAACATGATTTGATGCTTCACCTGTAGCAGCATTCTGTGGACCGGTTTCTGATGCCAAACGTAGAAGATTGCTGGTCTGCGAGTCCTGAGCTTCCATGGCCAGAGGTGGAGGCATCACCGTTAAAGCTACTGGTCCCACTGTTGATGCTTGACCTTGAGTCCACCCAGAATCACCTGGCTGTGTAAAATTACCATCGAGTCCTGGAAAACCTTGCGGGTGAATTAGAGGAGCGATGGAAGATGAAGCATTAGGGTTCTGCTGGCAAAGAACTTGAAGTTGTGGATAAAGTGCTTGAAGTGCTGGGAAAAGAGCTTGTAGTGCTGCTTGCCCAATAATATCTTGGTGGCCTTGAAATCGCTTAGCATTCGACTGGTGCTTCTTTCCCACCAAATGACCTTGGAAGGTAATCACAGATTCACACTTCACGTTACACAATTCACATATCAAGGGAACAAATCCTTTGGGCATAGCAGGCTCAATCGGTCTTCTTGATCCATCATTAAACCTCATCCATTTACCCCCTCTACCACCACCCCTCATATTACGCTTGAAACCATGCCCTCGACCTTCATAATGGTTCATCCTCAGATTTTGTGCTAATTCTTCATTAGGTTCAACCTCTTCAACATTTTGATTCTCAGTTGAAACTATGTTTTCTTCTCCGACAGCTTGAGAAAGTAAATTCTCTTGTAGAGGTTGCTTAGTCCCATCTCCCTCACTTTCTACAGCCTGCGAAGAACCTTCTGGTTTCAATTCAAAGGTCAATGGTTGCTCATTCCGTCCTCCAGTCAGGTCTTTGTTAAGTCTTTGTAACTCTTCATAAACTTTCAAGTTCTTTTTGTGCTTTTTCCCATTCCTGTGCTGCTCAAGAATTTCAGGGGTGTTGCAGTCGACTCTACATAGTTCACACCATGAGATTTTTGGAGGTGGCCAAACTGGCGCTGAATGAACTACACCTGCGACAGGCATGGACACTTGAGTTGCAACTGACGCATGCCTACCACGGCCCCTGCCACGTCCTCGACCGCGAAATGGACGGCCCGGAACATTTGGTTTAGGACCAACTTGGCTTTGAGTTCCTCGAGAGGGTTCACCATCCAATATGCCATTACCCCCATATGAAGCTTGTGTAATCTGCAAAATTTTATGAAATGCATTTTCAAGAATATAGCTGTATTTACCTTCCTACATTTACTGCTTTTGCATAGTGTTACTTTTTCTTTTCTTTCTTTCATTTTTTTCCTGGTGGGGGTGGGGTGTGCATAGAGGATCAGTTCTTGGGAACCCACATGACGATATGAACACATGACATAAATGTACTCTGTACTTGAGGACATCAGTGGCGTTGTATGAAAACATATACAATAGGAATTGCTATGAATTGCACAAAAGTTCTTAAAAGAAATTTCCTATAACACTGCATGACAATTAATAGCGAGTGGTAAACAGGATGGACAACCCAGAAGAACAAAATAACTGTTCTGAACTAACAAAGGATGAAAAACCAAATTGAATACTAATAGCATGGATGACAATGTTACTCAATTAAGGGTCTATTTTGATGTAGGTGTTTTGAGAATAAATTTTGTGAAAAGTGATTTTTTTGAAGAATGTGGTTAAAAGTAGGGGAAAGTTATGGATTCACATGCAAAATTATTTTATTGGAATAGCGTGTGGTTGAAAATGAGTTAGGGAAAAAATGAGTTTTAAAGAATGTTATACCAAACAAGGGCCAAAAATCAGGACAACGAATTCAGAATTTCAGTTCCCATATCTAAAAACAGATGATATCACGAGACCTTAATAAATGAGTTAATGGATTATGGAACAATTGGCTAGACCATAAAACAAAAATACAAATGAGCATTGTACATCCAACCACTGTAGAGAGAAGTCTCGCTGAAGACATTCAGAGAGAGTTATATCTTCAAGTAATGCACCAATCAATATGGAGGATAGATGGTTAATTTTTCGTCTTCAGAAGGTACTAAAATCTTTCTAATGCCTGAAGAGACCTCAAGAAAAGAAATGGCTAAATCTGTAATGAGAAGAAAAAGAGGGGAAAAAAACTGTTTTATTCTTTGAAACCAATTACTGGATGATAAGTTCGATTCTGTGATCTGGGTCAGGGAAGCATAAATATTTTTGTGAATGCATTAATTGGCCTTTACGAATTCATAAATGTGCCAAACATGTGAAGGTATTGATAATCGAGTCCCACTAATGACAATTATGAGGTAATTTCTTAAGAGCTAAATTAATTAGATTTCACTTGTTGAATATCTTTATTTAACAACCTTCTCAATTTTCCTTTTAGCGCATAAAAATAAATGCATCCACACGTAACCTTTTAAGAAAAATAATCTTATAGGTCCATTTCTTCACTTTATTAATGCATTGTTGCATTAGCATCCTTTCATCAATAGGCCGTGAAGCAAATCAGAAGCTATTTCAATGGTCAAGGAGGCAAAAACCCATCTTTTCGAGAAAATTTCTAGCAATTAGTAGCCAAGCATCCATCTCCCTTGGCAAGGGAGGTATAATAGCCTTCAAGAAGTTTCAATATAATAACCCGCACAAGCCTCAATTCCCTTCTAAAATATCCACCCCCACACCCACACCCTCCCCTGCCAAAAAAGGAAGTGTATCATTTACTTCAAACTCTTACAAAATCATCCTATAAGAAGAGAAGTTTGAGCGCTTCTCAATTGCACAGAACACTATGTAATGTTACCTAACAAGGCCAAACAGCTAAGCTCCAAAAACAAAGAAGTGGCTCAATGTCCTCTATTCATGAGCTGGAGATCAACAGTGTTAAAACAAAAGAAGCGATATGGAAATATAAATTATTACAGCCTGGATACCAACATGCGAACTGAACTCTAGCAATTACAAACAGACTCAAAAGTGGCTACTATTTTGATGTACAGGTCACTCTAGCACTCAACATAGCTGCTTTAAGATTCATTGGCCAAGTTGACAGAAAAGTCTTCTTTTTAATCATGAAATAACACAACCAAATAAGAAGCACGGACACACTATTAATGCGGGAGTGTCAGTGTCCAACACACAGGCACACATGCAACACGTTTGGACATGCCACGTGGCTTGTCCCTTTTTATTTTTTATTTTCCAACCAGCGGCAAGGCAGCAAAACGTCCAGACATGGGAAATTAAATTAGAAAAGGAACAAATAAAATCAAGAAAACTTACCATCAAACTTCACATAATCGAAGCAAAAAATTTCTAAAAGGAGAGAAATCTAAATGACCAGACTGAAGGAAGTATTCACCATTATTGACCATTCTAAAGCAGAAACCAAGCATGAAGATCAGCAGCTCTAGAACCATATTTTTCAACGTTAATTGGAAGATTTATAGGTTGTATGCAGCTGTGGGAAAGGTCAAATGGATTTCAAATGATTCTTCTATTAAATTCGATGGGTTTGGGAAGGGAAAATGGACTGGGACGCTTTTGGATCTGTTCTGGGCAAATGGGCTTGAATGAACAGTTCACTTCAATGGGGGATGCTTTTGGATCCTGACTTGAATTGTTCTTTTAGTTGAATTAAATTTTTTTTGATTAAAAATCTTTTTCTTCTTGTTTTTATTTGGATCGATTTTTCATTTTCTAATTACACTGAAACGAGTATTTTTTTAAATAAAGATAATTTAATTTTTACATTATTTTGGCCAGTATGTCCCCGCATTTCTGCACCCTACTTTTTTTTTTTTAAATTCACGTGTCAGCGTATCATTCGTGTATGCACGTGCTTCTTAGACGTCCAATATTCTGAAACCTATTGCTAACGAGCATGCCGAACACCACCCACAAAGGAAAAAGGGAAAGCAGAAATCCATACACTCACAAATCTTCAACCATGCCAGACTCCTGTGACTAAGCACGTCTGCAAAGCACAAAAACAAATTTAAGCACTGCTATAATAAGACAATAGAAATCTCAGTACGCTGTCCAAGCTTGGTTTGGTGAGACACTATAGCAATTTGCAAGCTGGTCTAGCTCAAGCTTGAACCAAGCTAATAATTCTTTAGTAGCTTAGGCTCAAGCGCACCTTTTAACTTGTCTGGCTAGACAATGGGCTATCAGCTCAGCTAATCATATCCTTTTGATATGCTGTTTTATAGAAGCTTTGAAGATAGAACCAAAACATTCTCAATTAGATGAACCTTCCCCAGTTCCCATCTAAAGCTCATATAAAGCAGTATAAACTTGTGTGATTTAAGGCATCATTAACTGAGCAGAAAAAGTGTCGATTCAGAGTGGCTCAAGCTTTGCTCCCTTAGGCAAGAGACCAAGCTTGGAACAATGTACACATACCAAGCTCAAGCAGTTTATTTGGTGCACATTTACATGAAAATGATACTATTTCAATCAATACAATATACCGCAGCGTATATACCAGAATATTGACACCACAAATCCATCCATCTCCTTTAGAAACAATCACTCATTCACATGCGTATATGGTTGTATGTGAGTACTGAAATAAAAGAAACCATATATGTATGACTTTCAGTGGTAACATAAGAACAAAGAAAAATTTCATCTCTCGATAAAATTTGTAACAAGAATTCACGTACTGGATCCATAGCGTCAGCATTCTTTAGTGGATGATGATATCAAGGATAACTTCCATGGATTCTCTCATACCAGTACCACATTATACATATTCTTAGTGAGAACCATTTGCTCCAGATTTTATGAAACAGTTCTCATCTCCTTTCTACAAAATCGAAACCGAAAATTGTAATGTAATGCGACAATGGTGGTTCTTTCTTATCTATAACCCACTAACTTACTCCAAGATTTATTCCTCTATATATGTTTACTAAGACCACGTGCACATCTAGTCACTTGACATTCCACTTACCCAAATCCAATTGATAGCAAAATTTGATAAAATATGTAAAATTAATGGAGTAACTAGCACACTATAAAGCAATAAACGCAAACGCCCACTGGCTGAAAAAATATAATATTGTTATACTAAATAAGCCGTTATATTTCTAGAGAGAAGAAATTAGAAAACCCATACTGTAAATCAATCCAGGATCAAATAACAAAAGAAATAAAATTTAAAATAAAAAACTACAATTGTCTAGTACCCATCAGGCATCAAACTCACGATCCATCAACATAAAACAGAAACCCAATATGCAATTAAAAACAAATACTGAAAAAATTCATACCGGTTGGTGGGGTCCAGTGGGCATTGCCCCAATTCCATATCCACCTCCAGGAGCATTTCCTCCTTGTTGCGGATCCATATTCAAAGGAACAGCTTGTGGGTAGTAATAAGAATTCTTGGCTTGCTCTGCCGCTTGTAGTGTTACGGGCTGTGGCACTGTAACCCCAGGTGGGGTTGGTTCTCCTTGTTGTTGATGCTGAGCGTAACCGTAATAGGCCTGCTGCTGTTGATTATTATATTGATGGTATGCATAATAAGCTTGTGCGGATTGATCGTAGGCTTGGATTTGAGACGAGGGGTCGTAAGCCTGTTGTTGGTAATTAGCAGGGTAATCCATCGAAGCNAATTAGCAGGGTAATCCATCGAAGCTTTGTGATTTTTGTTCCAACGGTGAATTTTGTGTGTGTTTGTATGCCGATTTTAGGGTTTCGTGATCAATTTGCAAATTGCAACACTGAATTGTAAGAATTCTGCAATTTGTTGTTGAGAAATTAGGGATACTAGAATTTGCTCCAATATAAGGTTTGTTTGGAAGCCTCATCTTTTAGCTTCTTGCTTTTTTCCCCTTAACCCTCAATTTTTTCCTCCCCCTTTTTAAATATGAAGAAAGGCCTTGTTTGAGCCACCTTTTCATAAAATGAGAATGAAAAATACAGTCGTTATTAGGGTTCACACAAGAGATAGAAAATTTGAATTTAAATGTTAATGTAATGGATAACGATCATATTTTTCATTTTAATAAGAAAATAAGATGGCCCAAACTAGGGCTGGGCAAAATGTCCGAACCGAACCGAACCGAACCGAACCGAGCGGGTTTTTAAAATGAAATACCCGAACGGATATCCGAAATCGAGAACCGAATGGTTTAGTTC